AGAGAAATATTACAAAAGAGAGAATAGAAAATTGAAAGATACATTGAAGGGAAACATTGCCTTCTATTTATACATAAAATGGACTTGAAATTAATAATTTGAAGTCCGCATAGTGCATGGGATAGTGTGCTGGAATAATGCAGTCGGTCGGCCCACCACTAAGTGTTGTCTCCTTATCTGATGGAAAGTAGACATCTGATAAAGGAAATACTGTTGAATCAAAGACTTTGGGGAAAAGTTCTTTGGCTTCTTCTGTCGGCAGGATAAGAGGAATCTTTACTTTTTGGGTGGATTCATCTTGTCCTTCAAATGTCCTGTGAGCGAATCCCAATAATCTGCTATTGAAATCTCATCTTCGGAATTAAGATCTTCATTGGGATCTTGAGCATAACCTGCAAGACAAGAAAACTGATTTCCATCTTGACTGGTCTGGCTAGAGACTGATACCATGGATGCATCATCTCTTGCTGTAGGTGTAGAGGATTCAAAGGATTTAACAAATTTATTCCTCATAAAATCTATGCATTTAACCATTAAATCTGCTTCGGTAATTAATGGTTGTTGTTTTTTCTGATCATATCTTTAACAAGTTCAAACGGGTTAAAGATTTCAGGTTCTGGAATAGTTTACTTTGGAATCTTATCCATATATTCCATTGTTTTCTTTCTGATCTGATGGAGGAGGGCTTGGATAGGTTCCTGAGTCATGCCTGACCACCATCTGTAATAAAAGATCCTCTGGAGGACTGGTAACTTGTCAGTGGTATAACCACATTGGAAATCCCATTTCCAAATCCAAGGGATTCCAAATTCAGTAAAGAATAATAGGGTGGATTTCCCTACAGGAATATTATCCTGCCCTCGTAATTGAGGATGAAATTGTTGCCATGGCAAATATAATTTGCTGATTGATTCAGGCAACATATCCAGATCAGGGCCAAATATAGCCCACCAGGGTATAACCCAGTTTGGGAAATCAGTCTTAACTGATCGAGGACATATCTTGAAGAACCAAGAATGCCTATGCTTCGGATTTTGATAAAAGAACGAATATGTCCAGGCTGAGATATAATCTCAATAATTGTAACTGTGACCATAGGATATTTTCCTTGGCAAATTGGGATTTAATCCCCAGTCACTAGGCCGTATAAGCCTCTTAAAGATAGCTTTACTATAAGTAAGAGGACTATCTTTGGAATTCGGAAATTGCTTCGTGTGGTTGATTTCCACAGAGGAAGTTTCAGTAAGAATGGCTTCATAGATATATCTATGGCGACCATCCGGTGCAGCATATTGTTGAGTTTGGAAATATCTGGATTTTACTTCCCAAGGATCTGGCATCCATTGCTCATCTTGAGAATCCAGTACCAATGCTGTTTGAATATACCTTTGATTAGGTATCCATGGAGTTTCTTGTTCAAGAACCTCTTTCATGGTTGGTTTCTGTTGTTGTTGCTGGGTACTGCTACTTCCTTTGGAAGGAGTTTTGAGCAGATCAGCAACATGTTCCAGATATGGAAACTGATCATCAGTTAGGGGTATAACCACCTTGGCCTTAGCCTTGTTTTTACCACGAGCCTTTGGAGTATGACCCCGGCCCTGCCCATGGGGGGGCTGATTCATGAACCCTGCAAAAATTCACGAGTTAAAAAATCAGGTAAAGAATTAGAACTGCCTTTAATGTATTCAATAGAAAAATCAAAAGCAGATAAATCAGCTTGCCAACCAGCAAATATCTGTTTGGAAACTAAATTTTTTACATCTTTTTCCAGTACTTGTTTAGCAGCACTACAATCAATGCGTAACAAGAATTTCTGATTAATTAAATCATCTTGGAATTTGTAAATGCATTTAACCAAAGAAAGAATTTCCTTTTTTATGGTCGAATAATTTAATTGTGCATTTTTCCAAGTTCCTGAAGTGAAGCGAACAAGCTCCTCTGTTCCTGTAGTTGGATTTTTCTGTTTAAGAATACCACCGTATCCAATATTGGAGGCATCTGTTTCCACAATTTTGAACCATGAAGAATTGGCTAGAGCTAAGCAAGGAATTTGTTTGGCTCTGAGTTTAATCTTCTGGACTGCCTTGGTGTGATCCAAAGTCCATGGGGAAGGAGATTTCCTTAACCTGGTGTACAAAATTGCTGTATCCTGTGCAAGATTTTTGTAGTGACTTCGAATATAATTTAAGCTACCCAAAAATCTTTGAAGTTGAGTTTTATCTTTAATTTCAACTGGAAATTTAGAAGCAAACTGAATACTGCGATCAATAGGTCGAATTTTCCCATCACAAATTTCATGACCAAGAAATCGGACCTTAGTTAAAAATAGTTTTAGTTTAGGAGCAGAAACTACTAAACCACTTCGGTAAATGACATCTTTGAAAATTTTCAAATGTTTATAATGCTGATCAATTGATGTTGAGTATATAAGAATATCATCAATATAAACAATAGAAAATTCAGTGAAAGGATTAAATATGTCATTCAAAATATGTTGAAATTCTGAAGGGGCATTTTTTAATCCAAATGGCATTACTGTCCATTCATACTGTCCGAAAGGTACGCAAAAAGCTGTTTTGTACCTGTCTTCTTCTGCAATTTGTACCTGGTAATATCCAGATTTAAGATCAAATTTAGAAAAGATCACAGCAGATTGTAACCTATCTAGAAGATCTTTGATGTTGGGAATTGGGTATCGGATCCAACTTAAAGTAAGATTAAGTGGTCGATAATCAATAACCAATCGAGGAATTCCTCGTTCTTTTTCAGCATTTTTGTTGACATAAAAAGCTCTGCAACTCTAGGGGGAGTAGCTAGTGGTGACAAGCTTCTTAGCCATTAAAGAGCTGATTTCAGTCTTACATAATTCCAAGTAGTCAGCTTTCATGTGGCTGGGACTAGCTTTAGAAGGAATCATGCTATCGGTAAACCCCTTTACATAGGGTAAAGAAACAATATGCTTCTTTCTGGCCCAAAAAGCATTAGGAATCTCACTACAGATTTCTTTTAGAAAGTGTTGCCGTAGTGACTCAATTTTCTGTTGCTCTTTGGGTTGTACCAATCTTTGATTAATTGCTAAAGAGGATACCTCCTGTTGCAAATAATTCAGTTGCTTTTCCTTAAAGATAATATTATCTTTAAGGGCATTGATATGCTTATTTACTGGTGGGGTCAAGAACTGAAAAGTTATTGACTGACCATGTAAAGTAGAGCATATTCCACGAGAATCAATTTTCTCGATTGGCATAATCAAAGCTAAAAAGGGAGTGCCCAAAATAACCTGTTGTGCCAAGTTTCTGATGAGTAAGAAAGTAGATGGGAGACAAATACCTTCTTTACAAATGAAAACATGATTAAGTTTATACTTAATCTGCATCTTACCTCCACTTGCACTGGTAAGACCTTGAGTGGTTTTCTCAAAATATTGAGTAGGAACCAATCCTTCCTGGATGCAGTTCATGTCTGCACCACTATCAACTAAAGCAATTGCATTAGTGAGTGTGTACTCCTGATTAATTACCAAATTGATAGTAATATACCATTTTTGGTAAGTAACTTGATTCAAGAGTTGAAGATAATTAGTACCTTCTGAGGGAAGAACTTCATCATTGGATGATGAAGATGGGATTGCAGATTTTGCTTTTAAAAGAGTAATTTCCAAATCCATCGTAGTCTGCCTAGACTTTAATTGACGAATTTCTTCTTTTAAAAGATTAATCTCCATTTTAAGATCAGGGAGATTAGCAGGACGAGAATTTTGTCCTTGGTGTTCTAATCTGCGTAGAACTTCTTTCATACTGTAATGATTTTCTGCTCTCAGAAAATCTGGATTATCCATATCCTCTGTAGATTTTGCCAAAGCAGAACCTATTTCAAAGATTTTCATCTTGAGTTGAGGATCTTGGAGATGATCTATAAGATCCAATAAGGATTGTTGAGTTGAAGTCAAAACATTTAAGCTTAACCCATTCATTTCAACAATGGCCTTGTAGTAATCATCATGAGAAGGATTACAGGAACATCTAGGGTTTTCAATCTCTGCTTCAGAGGAAGAAGAAGATTGTAATTCCATGACAACATCTCCGTAATCACTTGATGATTCTAGTTCAGAAGAACTAGTATTAAGTAACAATTTACTTAATTGAAGTCTCAGTTCCTCTTCTATGTGAAGACTACTGAGTTTCTCCTTAGTTCTACACTTGTTTGCATAGTGGCCAATACGTCCACATTTGAAACATTTAGCCTCAGCCTTGGGCTTTCCTTTACCCTTTGCTTTAGGAGTATATCTCCTTTTAGGCTTAGTATACTGTCGAGAATTATCCTTTTCCTTTGAATAATTCTTTCTTTTGGAATACTTCCTTTTATAAGGTTTTTCAACCTTATTTCTTTTCCTAGGTTTAGGATAATATATATATATATTAGTTGGATTAATTATCAAGCATCAAATTGTAAATCATTATTAACTTTATATTCAACACTATTAAGAAGTACTCATGCCTACTAATTAAACATGGTTTGATTAATTCAATAAATTCAATGAATAAGAACACGAACTCAATATAAACATGCTTCATTGTAGCTTAGGTATATTGTCGTTATTGCCATCAGTTGACTATATGTATCCTAACATGCCAAGCAATTGCTTTTGCTACTATAAATTTATCTTTGCCGAACTTGCCAAGCAATTACCCTTGTGGAATATGTGGATGTGATTCCTTCTTCGAACAAATCAAAATCGACATCTTTTGTAGTAAAGACTATTCTTTTAAGTGTATGTATATATATATATTAGTTGGATTAATTATCAAGCATCAAATTGTAAATTATTATTAACTTTATATTCAACAGACAACTACTCATGCCTACTAATTAAACAAGATTTGATTAATTCCCATATGGTCATGTACAAGTGATGATTAGGTTTTGGACCCTACATGCATACATAAGTCTTTCTAATTAAACATTTTTCTCGATGACTTACCTACTATATAAAACACCTAATGCCTTTTATATCTTAGAATACAAACACCCACATCACCTAAAAACATATATGGAGTGCAGGAAATTTGAGATAACCCTCGTCTCAGCAAACGACCTAGAGGACGTTCGAAGAATCTGCAAGATGAAACCCTACGCTAGGGTTTCAATTGCAAACAATCCGAGGACGGAGAAGCGGACGCCGACAGACAAGCATGGTGAGACCAACCCTGCGTGGAACTTCACCGTGAGGTACACCATAGACGAGTCCGCCGTGGAGCACTATGGTGTCATACTTGTGATCAAGTTGTACTGTAAGCGAAAGCTCGGGGACCGATACATCGGTGAGGTGCATACATCATTGAAGGAGCTGTTTGATTATGCCAGCATGAATGGAGGGAGTGCTGTAGTGAGTCACCCTGTGCAGAAGGGTTCTGCAGACTCTCAGGGAGTGCTTAAGTTTTCGTATAGGTTCGGAGACAGATTGAGTGTTGATAAACTAGTGTTGGCAGATAGTATTGCACTCTCTGGCTATGATTTTGTTAAACGTGATACTTGTTTCTGCCTTTAGGGAGGGATTCCTAGTGAGCCCGAGTCATCAGCTCCGCGTTGACTACGTCCCTAACCTTTGTATACCGCCCCTTAATTTACCGGGGAAAAATGTCTTCTCTTTCTGTGTGTGTGTGCATGTACGTATGTTTGTTATCACTTATCAGAGAATCAAGGGCTTGTGTGTATTGTGGAGGGAAGGTTGTAGTTGTATGATCCAAGAAATGAAAATTTGTTTCTAGCTACTTGTTTTTAATATTCTTTTTGGTCACAGCTCTTGTTTTTAATTTCTTTTTGGTCGAATATTGATAAGATTTTTTTATTTTATTTTTTATTTTTATTATTATTATTATTATTTTTGTAAATGAAGATTGATATTTATTCATTTGTTTTATTTATTTTCGTTGATGGTGGTGATGTTAGTTTTTTCCATGTTCTTTTCACTTAAAATGGGATTCCTTTGTTTATATATTCTTAATGGTTAATTTCTCTCAAGGTTTTGAAGGGAAAAAAACTGACATAATTTATTCTGAATATCTATCTCTATATATATATACACTAATGAGCCGGCATACATACAGATTCCTTATCCAATAATTTCTCAAGTATATTATTAATCATATATATATATATTTAAGTAATTGGGTAGGTAGTATTGAATAAGAATGAAAGAACAACCAAGAGAAACAATAAAGTAGAACCTTTTACAACCTCCCAATTCCTCAACACCAGACTCAATTAGTTGGACAGTAGGACCTACAGGGAAATATGGCCTCAAACATACAATATCAGCCATATCCCAAACGCACAATCCAATCCCATGGTCGAAGCTGGTATGGAATTCCATGGCTACCCCAAGCAGAAAATGATCTTACGGATTGCGGTTCAGTCTAAGCTCTCCACTCTTTGACTCCAAGTGCATGTCATACCTCGATTCTGCCAATGTATGCCACCTCTGTTCTTCTCTACTTGAAACGCACTCTCACCTCTTCTTTGATTGTGATTTCGTCTCCCCAATCTGGAGATTCATCCAAGACAGGTGTAGATTCTACACAAGAAGCGACAATTGGCCCCAATTCGCCAATTGGGCTACCTATCACTGGAATCAAGTTAACCTATAACTATATTTATATTTGCTTCATCATTCGAAAAAAAATAAAATAAACAAGCACGTGCTGGAGTATTCATCAAAATGAGACCTAATCTAAGGCATAAAGAGTATTGCACTAGTGTAGTCATATTGCTATACATCCTTTTTCAATTAATTAATAAACTTAATTTACCTACCAAAATAATATACTACTATATAGAAAATCAATACCTTTATTTTTGTAATAAATTTTAATTTTCATTTCATTTCACTTTGCACAGAGACTACAGACACGTACAGTTTTTTTAATCTTATTCATTTTATAGGGCTATACCGACTAACTAATTCATTTTTTTGTGCAGAGACTCCACATTGATATACCTTCTCAGTAACACAATCAAAGTGTTTATAATCAATAGATGCACTTCGGCTTTTTTCCTTCACTAACTAATTAATATCAGTTAAAATTTTTTTTTTTCTTGATATAAAGAAAAGGGAGATTGTTAAATGTAGGGGTGGCCACGGATCGGATTAGACATCAATCTTAATCTGATTCGCTCTCAACGGATTAAAAAAATCTTAATCCTGATTGAATCTGCAAATCGAATTTTATCTAAATTATCTATTATTAATATTATTTTTATAATTAATATTATTTATTATTTATTTATCTTTTAACCATAACCAATAGATAAAATTTTAATTTATATATTTAAATAATTATTAAGTAATACATTCTTAGAATCCATTAAATTATCATTAACTAATCTATTATTTGAATATATATATATATATTTCACGGATCGAATTTTTAATAACTCAATCCGTGATTTGATTCGTGAGTTACGGATTCGGAGGTGTAGCAGTAATCTAATCCAATTCGCACAAATCGATTCGAATCGAATCGAATTCACGAATTATTTGCCCCACTCCTAATTGAATGTGCTCTAATTCGTTATTTGAATTCTTATAGTATTTGACCCGGTAGTAGAAATGAGGTCACCCTAAGGTTTAAAATCATTTTTCATTATTAAAGGAAATAATATATCCGATCTCTCTCTCTCTGTGGAAAAGTCTAAGCAAATTAATATATATGATATAAATGTGTGCCATAAGGGGCTAGCCCAAACAAGACGGGCCCAAGAAACACAAGCAGTCCAACAAAAGCCCGGCCACTAGCACTTAAAGGGCTACAACCATTGAAAGAACATAAATAGCATCTATTCACACTACGGAAAGCTCAGCAAATGGCTGTTGTCAGGAGCTTCTCGCCAGTGAATATGGAATTTGCGCCTGCAAGAAAGCACAATGCATGCTATTAATGTAGTTAATAAACTTGCACCTTTCATTGGAAGGATTTAATTGTTCAAGAGTTGTTAAACAAATAATTAAATCATTGAACTTATACTAGTGGTATATTTTCATCAATGCATTCCTTGTGCTATAAATACTAGTTTGTAGTTTAAAACGAAAAGGGAAGGAGAAAAATAAGAAAACCGAAAGGGAAGAAAGTGAAAGTGAAGAAGCGGGGGCGCCAAAAATTCTATGTTTTTCAACTTATTTCAACTTTCCTTTTTCGTATTTTCTTTATTTTTTTGGTTTTTCTTTTTGGTTCACAGTTGTCACTTTTTAGCGTTAAGTTTACCGCCCTTAGTTGACTTGTCTGGATCTTCTTAGACGATTTTCGTTCTCGCGAAATCGGCCTCGCGAAGACCCTTTAATGGCCTACTCTCCGGCCATAGAAAACAGAGGACTTGATGAATCCGTGATTCGGTCGATCCCAATATTTCAATTCAAGAGTGGAGATCAAAAAAGAACAAACTAGCGAATGTGCGGTTTGTTTGAACGAGTTCCAAGTAGATGAGAAGCTTAGAATTATACCAAATAAGCCAAAAACAAGGCAATGGTCTCCCAAGACATAACACACCTCTAAGACCCTAAGATGACCCAAGAACATCTAACCGGTTACCAAACTTTCCTAACCGGTTAGGGGGCAAAACAAAATGACCACTACACTGCCCAAGCTCTCGTAACCGGTTACGAGAATCCACCGCTCGCACACTTGTACTAAAAGTCAACAAAATACTGACAGCAGGGGTTTTTTTGGGAAAAAATGGATTTTTGAGAGTCAAAATGACATTTTTTGGAAAAACACAAAGAAGAAACCCCCCTCAAAATCGAGTACGACCACGAGAGCTAGAACCACATATGACCCACACTTATCATTGGAAAATGGGAAAAGAAAGATAGAATTAGGGATATTAGTAAATTAAGGTTTTTATTTATGTTTATGGTTATTTTTAATAATGTTTTAATTATAGGGGTATTTTAGTACTTTATTATTTTAGGGTTTGTTTATGTTTTGCCTATATAAAGGCTCAAATGTAATCACACAAATCAGTTTTTGGAGGATCAAATTAGATAATCAACATATATATATATATATATATATATAGAGAGAGAGAGAGAGAGAGAGAGAGAGAGAGAGAGAGGTTCAGTTTTTGGAGGATCAAATTAGATAATCAACACATATATATATATAGAGAGAGAGAGAGAGAGAGAGAGAGAGAGAGAGAGAGAGAGAGAGGTTTTGTTTTGTATATATTATAGGTTTTGTTGTTCCTTCGTCTTTTTCCTACCATTTTCAAAGCTTTCTTTTTAAGGTAATTCAAGTAAGTATTACGGTATAAGAAAGAACAAAGTACAAGAAGAGAAGTCTCAAACACGACCTGAAGCACAAAAGCAAAAAAACAGCAAGAGCCACAAACATCAAACACACAGACAAGGCTCACGATAATGAATCGGTCCTTTATAACAGGGTCCCACCTAAATTTCCTCTTCATCTTCCTCTTTCTCCATCTCCATCTCTATCTCTGTCTCTGTACTATATGAAAGATTCTTTAGCCAATTTGTATTGCCAGCTGTTGAATGCGAGCCCATAATGATGAGCTGAACACAAGGGGCTGAGCCAATTAAGACCGAGAGGGACACATGCCTCCTCACCAAGGTGAATTTTTTTTTCTTGGTTTTTTATATATATAGACAAATTCTATATAATGTCCTCCCTAAATATTTAAATATCTAAAATTATTTCATTAACCTTTTGTTTCTCTTTTCTCCTGCTCTTTATATTCGGTTAATTTTCTTTAAAAAGAGAGCTAATTTTCGTTCTTCAATTAGACTCTTTTTCTGTTCTGTTTTTTCAAAGTTGTCTCATTCTTTTTTTCTTTTTTTTTTCCTTCTGAAAATTCTTCTTTTTGCAACTTTTTTTCATTCAGCTTGAATTTCATGATGTCTATGGTGTAATTGTCATGCAAACTTTTACAATTTTATTCAATGAAAATATTACCGAACAATTTTTTAATGTTTACATTCACCAACTATTTATCTTGCTTATACTATTGATTGATTATCATATTATTTTGCAATGATTTTGTTTTACTTCTTCTTTGCCCCTTGATTTGAACAAGTAAATTTTTTTTACACTACGTTCCTCTGAATTGAAATTCTAGCTACACACGCATATAAACTGCAAGTGAAAAGTTTTTAGGATTAATCATACATAGATATATATAATTTTTTTTCTTCTCAAAAGTTAAAATAAACGCGCACATTCACAATGTTGTCCTCAGATGCACGTCATACCATATGAACTGATGTTTTTTAATGTTTAATAATCACTTGCTTTGACAAGTAAGGCAGGGTCAATTTGTTTTCTTGTTTCTTCCATTTTGTTAAATTTTATGGTTCTTTGCACAAATTCATCTAAGTTATAAGAAATTTACACTTTACTCCTCGAATTTATAATATTAAACTCCTTAAAAATTGAAAGTATGCAAATAAACTGCTTAACCATGGTTAGATAATTGTTAAATAATTAAGCTGTCTTGAAAAATATTAAATTATCCTTAAGTTTCGCAAAACTTGAAAATTTCATGTTACCTTTAAAATCCAAGAGGCAACATGCAAATTCTTTATAGTTCAGCAGATTTTATACAATGAACTCAAAAGATATTTACACCTAAAAAAAAACAAAAAAAAACTTTTAAGGAGATAAAAAAAAGTCCAAATTTTTTCACCTGGTAAACTTTGGTTCAATGGTGTATATTGCAAAATATTTGAATTTTTTTTTAGAATGTTTTCTGCTAAGATTTAGTAGATGAGGTGATATGTAAAATCTTTTTAGGGCACAAGAAAATTTTATGCAATTAATCTAAAAATATATCAAAAGAGAAAGTGTGTGTAATTTACCTACAAAAAGGTTACAAAAAAAAAAAAAAAAAAGCCCCAAGGAAAGACCAAATGTTAAGTTATGAGCTACTAATACACGTACAAGAGAAGAAAAACAAAAACTATCATCCTAATTAGGTTACAGAACCACACAACTACACCATATACATATAGTTCTACAATATATTGATCAATCCACAGAAAGAAGAATGTTTTTTTGTGCATATATGACTTATATTGTAATATCAATACCAAAAATAAATTTAAGTGAAACTTTCAAAACTACTATAGCTACATCACGAAATCCTCCGTTACAGGAAGAAGGTTTTTCACCATCCACATTAACCAAGGTTCCCCGAAACCCGTACGAAAATCTCACCTTTCCCATTGAAAATACTGATCCTTTTCTCACACTGTATTCCACTGTGTTGCTAAAGCTGCAGCCTTTACGAGCTCGTTTGTAGAGCTCCTTCAACGACACATGAACCTCACCGATGTATCGGTCCCCAATCCACCTTTGACAGTATAACTTGATGATAAGGGCGGTGCAATCATGTCTGACGGCGGTTTCATCTATGGCGTATACAGTGGTGAAATTCCATGCAGGATTGATCCCGTTTTGATCGTCCACCGGGGTTTGTTTCTTTGAGCTGGGGTCATCACTGATTGAAACTGTTGCATAAACTTGCATACTGAAGAATTTTCCAGGTTTAAGATTTCTGGCTGAAATAAGATTGATCTTAAACTCTGTGCAGTCCATATCTGCTTGTGGTTTGGAGCAGCAAGCCATGCCTGCTGTAAATTGGAGGATGAAGTTGGAGAGGAGCTAGGGAGAGAGACAACCAAGAAACTTAAAAGAGATCTGGAGTCGGAAAATTTGATTGGGGAGCTATGTAGCGTGTCCGGATATGTCCATACACCAAATTTAAAAAAAGTAAGACACGACTATAAAACATGTATTGAGTACTAATATTAAGCTTGTGTTACAAATGTTTGAAAGTGTCCAAAAAAAAGTGTCGGTGAAGTGTCAGTGTCCGTGGCTTCATAATTTGGGACTGAATTTGTACCATGTAATTAAAATTTATAATTTTATTTTAGTTTTTTTTTTTTCTTTTTTTCATAGAGAAATATAGTAATAAGGAAAAATGTACAAAGAGGAGGGGCAGCAGCCCAAAAGACCAACCAGCAGCCCAAAACAGAAGGGCCAAAACAAGGCTCAAAAGCGCACCCAACCCAACTAGCCGTTGCTACCCAATTGACAGCAGCAACAGAAGCAGAGCTCAAGAAGGCAACAAACTATGGAGGTTTGGCACTGATCACCAAACTTGGAAGGACCTCGAAGTTGTACAATCAGAGTGCCGAACAACATAGAGTTTGCACCTAATGCAATCCTTGATTTGTTTGCAGAATTCTTCTATAGTCAAGTGCTTTCCGGAGAACGTTCTGTTGTTCCTCTCACTCTATAGGTAATATATCATCCCTGTAAATAATGTTGGTTATGGTATATATAAGTTGATTAAAAATAAAAAAAAATAAAGAAATGCAAAATACTTACCATGCAAACTAAATAAATAGACGAAAAACTGATACGAGAAAGAAATACATTAGCGAAAACAATAACGTGTCATAAAGATTAAAGTAAAGACTTAAAAAGTTCAAAGCATTTTCACTTATTCTTGTTCTTCCGTCAAATTGCTATAGCATTAGCATTAATTAACAAGAAGTTTCCTGGATGTCGATCATGTCAGGAGAAATGAAGAAGGGGCTGCTTCCTTGATGAAAGCGTTGAGGAAGTTGAAGTAGCTCGAAAGTCTACAATATTTCGGAGCATTGTGTATGAAGAAATTATTAGATCGTTCTGCACAATTACACTCAATTTAATCCAGATTTTTTAATTAAAAAAATGGCTACACAAGAATATATTAATATGTTATAAAGAAATCTCAATATTAATTTTTATTAGATGAGTTACCAAGTATCAATAATTCGGAACCATTTAATAATTTCTTTTATGTATGTGGTACCCTACCGAATGGAGAGGAAAATAATATTTCCATATCAGTGTATTGAATTGGAGTACCACACCATGTGTAACTGTGCAAGTACTCCGGGGTATTGTAGTCTTTTCATGCAACAACACTGTCCTTGACTTAGTTTGATGGAGAGAAGTCTACTCCTAAGATCATTAAAAATGAGTTGGGTGACAGTGATAGAAGAGGAAGTTTTATAATTGAAAAATTGACTGTTTCTCTCCCTCCATATACCATAGACATAATCTGCATATTATAATTATCTTACGGTACAATTTATAAGTTTGTTTCAAACTTTCAGTGCTTATAAATATATATTATTTAAAAAATTGAATCAAATTACGTAGATATAATGTAAATTGTACAGAAGGCCATTAAAGCCACAAAAACAGGTTAGCTACAAGTCCCACCAAAAATAGAAGTAAGTGAAACGTTCAAAGTTAACGTAGCTAAGTGTCACGGGCTTAGAGTTTCAGTACTACTCTAGCTGCTCCCGTGCGGCACCAAGACGTTGTTTTCACTCTCGCAAGTACTTGGTCAGCCTAACTCCCGTGCACACCTTAGCCAACACACTCCCCTCGTGCGCTTACTAGTGTTGTAGTTGCCCTCGCCCTCTCCTCACCTGGCTTGCACACTCACACACACTAAGGCACTTAAGTTGGCAAGGAAAGAACACTTCTATTACTTCAAAGAATGCTTTGTACAAGGCTAGCACTCAAGCTCTCTACAAGGCTCTCAAGACTCACTCTAGGACTTGTTGCCTACAAAATGAAGTCCTACCTCTATTTATAGGCATCCCCATCCCTAATGAACGGCAAGGATGCATTCTAACCAACGGTGGAGATTGATTATCTAGAATCTTCTCCCACCTTCTTCACACTTCCATACTTATCTACTAGTATCTACAACATTCTAGAATTCTCCATACTACTCCACACAACTCTGGAGAACTCTAGAACCTTCCACACACTTCTACACATTTCTACACATATCTAGAAACTTCCACATAACTCTAGACTATTCCGGAAGACTCTAGAAACTCCACTTGCCATGCAGTTGCCATGCAGCGTCCTTCTCAGCGTCTGCGTGTCGCCTGCGTGGCATAACCTCCATAGGCGGGGCGTGACATAAGCCACATAAAGCTCTCTTGCAGCCGAAAGAGGGCTTTTCATGATTTTCAGCCTTTCTTCCCCAAAACCTGTATGCAAATTTCAGCTTTCCATTTGAATCCACTGCTGATCCTTTATTCAATCTGTATTCCACAGTGTTGCTACCTGTAGGCGCTCGCTTGAATAGCTCTTTCAGCGACACGTGAACCTCACCGACGTATCGGTCCCCAATCCACCTTCTACAGTATAACTTGATGACAACCATGGTGCAATCATTTTGGACCGCGGACTCATCTATGGTGTGTCTGGTGTTGAAGTTCCATGCAGGGTTGGTCTCGCCGTTCGTGTCCACCGGACTTTGCTTCTTTTTGTTACCACCAATTGAAACCGTTGCATAAGCTTTCATACTGAAAAATTTTACGGGTTTAAGATTACTAGCTGAAATGAGATTGATCTCCATCTCTGTGCAGTCCCTATCTGCCCGCGGTTTGAAGCAACAACCCATGCCTAGCTAGCTACTGTGTGTTTGAGATCATATGAAAATGTGAAAGACCTAAACCTAACTTGTTTGAATTAAGATGCATGAGAAGATCAGGACATAAAAATGTGACACCAAAATTTAATAATCTTGTAATTTGCATGCATTTGTTATATGTTTTGGAGTTCTCTGTAGTCCCATATATATTGATATTTCAAGCGTGTTTTTTTTTTTGGGTACCAGTATATACATATATATTTCAAGCGTGTTTACTTATTCTTCTTCTTCAAAATTTCCCACCATTACTTGTCGAGCGTGTTCTGGTTGGAACTCCTCAAAGTCAACTTGCAGAGTGGTGGAATTTGCTTTCATTTGAACCAATTTCTGTGTATATATGGGGGGTGTGAATGTCTAAAGGTTGCATAATAACGCTAGTTGTTTTAATTAATGGCCTATAATTATAGAAATTTTGTTCTTTCTTTATTATTATTAATTTTTTTTGGGTACATGTTGTGTTGGAGAAAAGTACACATAAAGAATGGTACTCTTAATTAAATGTAATACAACAAGTGACATAGATAAGATTCTTTCGTTGACAAAGTCAACCTTATTTAGTATTGCTATTATTTATTAAATAAATAAATAAAAAATTTGCTACGATGAGGGTGCCTTCGCAATGAGATTGCAACTTCTTTCATTAAATTGACTGACATTCTGAACTTGCCAAGCAATTGCTTTTGCTACTAGCCTACTACAAATTTATCCATGTTCGAACTTTCCAAGCAATTGTCCAATTGAACTAGTGGTGTTGAAAAAATAACTAATGACTTTTATATTTTTGGACTTTCGTGATATATATAATTTTTATGAGTCAAAAATTTTGGAGTAGACAACTAATATGCAATAGAGATAATATATAAAATTTATTACAAGTGTCATGTTGTCCGAGTGGCTAAGTTGTTCTCGTATTGGAACCTTGTAGAACCTTCTCCCTTCTGATCACTAATTCTTAATATTCTTGCCTTAGAAAAAAAAAAAAAAAAAATCTTTAGAAAATAAATTATATAGCTATAAATTGCTTTACTTTCCAAAAAAATAAAAAAAGAAACTACAAAAAATTTACTACGAATTCAATTTTATAGTATAGTATGGTATTTACTACCGAATTTAAATTTCGTTGCTTTTACAATAAAAAAAATTTACTACAAAAATAACTTCACATTAAATATCCTAGTATTCACAACGAAATTCATTTGATAATGAACTTATTTTGTATATGAGCATGCATGATGAAATGTTATGGAATATAAAGACTGATTATACGTGCGAAGTATAATTATAATTTTTTAAAATTATTTTGCAACGAAATAACTGGGGGGTAATTATTCAATAGCTAAGGAAAAGTTTTGTCTGCTAAAACAAATTTATTAGCTACGACAAATTTCGTAGGCTAATGACAATATATATTTGTGACAAAATAAGCATGATACAAATTGCTGCTATCTCTGTTGTTCTGAATGAGAATCCATTAACCACTTGTTCTACAACTGTAAGTTTAGTGCTCGCATCTGGAACTTCATTTAGGAAATTACTGGGTTTTACATTTTTCTTAACTGTTGATCAGATATGATTCATTTGGATGGAAATGAATGCTAGGGCTTTCAGAAGCCAGTGTTCTACTCCCCAACAAATAATAAGTCAAATCAAGTCCTGTATCAGGGCAAGACGAGCCACTATTAAGCTGAGAAATAGTTCAGACTTGAGGAAAGTTTCTGGTTTCTAGTCTATCTCAGCTTTATCTTCTTTTCATGCAAGGCTGCTCCACTGCTTGTGCTCAGTCCTGACTTTTATTCTAATCAAGCTCGAGTTCAGATGTTGGAAGCCATTTTTTTTTTTTTTTTTTTTTTTTTTTTTTTTTTTTTTTTTCATTTCATAGTTGATACTCACACACATATATTTTTATGAAGACTTAAATCCTTGGTCTCTCTTTGAAAAGTAAAGATCTGATATCGCTAAACTACTAACCCCTTAGTGTTAGAAGTCTGTTTGAAGTTATGCACATTTTGCATATGCTGTTAATGGTTAAAGTTTGTTAATGGTGATAATTTTTGGTTTTTGGTCATTGTTTTGGTCACACTACTTCAAGTGAAATATGTAAAATAGGTTTGATTGGTTTTTCCTTCCCTTCTTTAAGGGCCCCTTATCTTCTCTTAAAAAAAAAAAAAAAAAACTACAAAATTTTTGTCACTAATAATGCAATTTTGGTAGCTAAAACCTTGTTTTTGTTGTAGCTCAGGTGGAAAGAGAGTTTAAAACTCGCAATGCCTCGATTCCTGAATTCGCCTCGATTAATAATAAATTTAATATAAATACATATTTTTTATTAGTCATAGTTTTTCTCCCCTTCATTTCTTATGATAATTATAAATTTAAACAATATATTTGTTATTATGACTGTTAATTATTTAACTATACTAAAAGTACTTCTGTACTAATTTACTAATAAATTTAAAAATAATTTATTATTATAGATTTTGGGGTTTCTCTTGAAAACAATTTATAATGTAAATTTTTGAAAAAAAAAAATTATGAACCCAATTCTTTTCCCATTCACGTCATATGGGGTGGAGTCCATGCTGAGTGATCTCCATCAATCACTTGTGCATAGCTTACACATGTGACTAGAACAATGTTCTCTATTGGTATCACATATTATTGCCCTACAAGTACAACATGTAGGGCTGTTTTTGATTGCCCTTTATTTGTTTGATATGCTAAGTTTTTAACTACGTACATGAATAAACTTTATTTCGAATTAATTGATATAAATGAAACTTTACTTCATGCTCAAACATTTTGGTATTGCACTAGTGTGGCTATAACTGAATTCCTATATACAAAAATTAAGAATAAGATCCGATCGAAGAGCAAAGGAATGCAAAATGAGTAAAAGGTTACTCGAGAACACCAGTCCCTAATTAGAGCCACTAAGAGCATCTGCACCAGTCTCTCCAAATTTTGACTTTCTAAAAACGCCACATCAGCTTTTCTAAGAGCCATATCAGCAATTCCAAGAACCACGTCAGCAGTTTTCGCTCTCCAAAAACATGCACATCATCAGGCTCTCCGAATTTTCGCTCTAAAAAAATAATAATAAAAAATTAAAATTATTATTATTTTTTTTAACTTTTCCTAAACGGTTATATTTTTAACGGCTATATTTTTTAAAATTGAATTTTTAACCGTTATATTTGTAACGGCTATATTTTTAAAATATGAATTTTTATTGGCAATATTTTTAAAATTTTAATTTTTTTTTACAAAAAGTGTTAAAAAAAGCTTTTTTTATATATTTTTGGCCCAAATAAATAAGGATTACAAAATAAGGATTAAAAATAATGAATTGGAATAAGAAAATAAGGATTACAATTTAAAGTAAAAAAAAAAAAAAAAAACAAATTTTAAGGAAAAAAAACAAAAGCTTTTGGAATTTTTTTTTGGCCCAAATAATTTTTTTTTTTTTTTTCTATAAATAGTGCCTAAACAATATATTTTTTATTTAATGAATTTTATTTTATTTTTTTTCCAAAAAAAGGAGCTCATTTGAACCTATTTTTAGGCTTTTTAAAAAAAAAAAAAAAAATTAAGGCACTGTTTGGTGCACTGTTACACCACTGTTACAAAGTGACAAAAGAAAGACAACTAAACGGCGCCGTTTTGGATTCATAGAAAACAAAAAAAAAAAATACCCCGATCGCGAGTCGGCTAGCTGAATACCGCGAGCCAGCCCACAAGCCTCAAATGGGCCCTACCATTTGGAAGAGGCCGCTGGAGGACCAAAAGCAGATTTGGCTTGCGGAATAAGGCTTCCGCTAGTGGGCTGCGGATGCTCTAATATTTTAATTAAACAGATGGGAGTGGTAGACAGTGGATAAGAAAAAGAAGGCTCAGGATGATCGGTCATTTATCATAGGTCCCAATTTAAATGACGCAAAGAGAAGACTTCTTCATCTTCCTCTTACACTACTCTCTCCTTAAATATCTGTACTTTATGATTCCTTATGAAAGATATCTTTTGGCAATTTATATTGTGTGAAGTATTTATATTGTGTGTTTTCTGCGACTGAAAGTAAAAACAACTTAAACAAAACAGCAAAGATTAACAAATCATCAAATGATGGTGCACCCAACCATACACCCAATTAATCCTGCTCCTCCACTCCACAATTAAATTGTCCTCAAGTTTAATTGCACAAAACTTGAAAATTTACATATTACCTCCCAAATCCAAATGGTAACATATACACAAATTTCTTACGGTTCAAGAGATTCTATACAATTAACTCAAAAGATATATTTTGACATATAAAAAAAAGGTGCAAATGTTTTGACCACCTAATTACCTAAAAAAAAAAAAAAGCTAATAACAACCAATGAGAGAAATACCATTCTAATTAATGGAAGCGGATCCTCTCCAGCGTAATCTCTCTCTTGTACTCCGCAGACCTCAATCCAAATTATATTGGAATTCCAAACAGAAAGTTAAGTGACGTGCTGAAAGCTAACATAACTGCACCATGTAATGCTCTCTTGCAGCTGATAGGCTTTTCATCGTCATCATCAGCCTTCATGGTTCCCCCAAACCTGTATGAAAATTTCAGCGTTCCCTGCGAATATTCTGATCCTTTTTTCACTTTGTAATCCACTGTGTTGCTACCTTTTGGCGCTTGATCTTTGAGCTCTTTCAGTGACACATGAACCTCACCGATGTATCGGTCCCCAATCCACCTTTGACTGTATAACTTGATGACAAGCATGGTGCAAGGGTTTTGGACCGAGGACTCATCTATGGTGTGTATGGTGTTGAAATGCCATGAAGGGTTGGTCCCGTTATTCGTGTCCACCCAACTTTGCTTCTCTGTGCCACCACCAATTGAAACCCTAGCATAAACTTTCCTACTGAAAACTTTTCCATCTTTAAGATTTTTGGCTGAGATAAGATTGATCTCAAACTCCGTGCAGACCATATCTGCCTGCGTGCGCGGTTTGATGCAACAACCCATGGCTGCTGTAACTTGGAAGATGAAGGTGGAGAGAGAGAGGAGGGAGAACCTGTCTGGAAGAAAAACCAATGAACTTAAAGAGTTTGTGAAAGACTAACACGAGCGGGGTCAGAAAATTTAATTTGGAGTGCTGAATTTGTACCATGTAATTATAATATATAATTTGTTTTATAATTAAAAATTATATTATATTTGGGTTGAGAAAAATAAAAAATTTTAAAAAATGAAACCTAAATATATACACCGATAAAACCTAATATGAGAAAGAAAAATATAAAAAAGAAGAAACATAACGTGTGAGAAATATTAAATCAATATCAACCGATCAGTGGTCTAATAATATCAGTCTCTTATTTTTTAAAAAAGGGTCAAGAATTTATGTCTTAAAAGAAATATGTGTGTGTATTAATTAAAAGAAATTTTTTTTTAAAACAATAGACTTAGAATTGAAAATTAAAGAACTGAAGAGATTCCAAGTAGTTCCAATGTGCTTGACTTGACGGAGAGAAGTATACTCCAAATATCGTTAAAAATGAGCTGGGTGACGCTGAAAGAAGAAGTTTTAGAATTGAAAAGTCAACTGTTTCTCTCCCACTATATATCATAGACACAAGTTGCGTATTATAATACCCACCCTCCTTATTATACCTTACAAAAATTGTAATTATGTTTTGAATCTAAACTAAGACACTTAAAAAAGGACCAAGTGTGTTTACTTATTCTCGTTCTTCAAATTGCTACAACTTTAATACTGTAATTAACAAGAAGATTGGTTGGATGTCATGTCGGTAGGTAGAAATTAATTCATGTGAGAGGAGAAATGAGTTGGCCAAGTTTGACAGAGTGAACAAAGAGATTACTTGGTAAATTGCAAATCCTCAAATAATTAAAATAATGTTGTTTTGAAAAAATAAAAATAAAAGTAACAATAATAAATTAATGTCAAACTTCTTGTGAAATTAAACAGAAATTACAGATGAAATACATGCAACAAAAATACAAATTTTTATTTGTTTCACCCAAAATTTAGAATCACATTTAAGAGTTGTAGATATCTTACTATGATGATCAAAATAACACAAATATAGGAGTTTAGAATGCTCAAAATGATTAAATACTATCATATTAGGGCAACATAATAAATTGGATCCGCAGAATTAGACCTTTAAAGTATCTATCAATTTTCACACTATCCATTATAAAGTTCTGTTCTTTACACAATTAACTTTTTCAAGTTGCAGAAGTCTGCTTGCTGAATGTCCAAGATCGAGCATCGTGCTCAATTATAAAGACCTAATATTTTGACCGTGTAAACTTGATGCAATAGGGTGTCTTCCAAAATATTTTGGTCGATCATGTGCTAATTAGCATTTGGTTGGTGAGGTGAGATGTAAATTGTTTTAGGTCAAGAAAATTTTATGCAATTGATCTAAAAATATATATTTAAAAAAGAAGAAGAAGAAGAAGAATGATAGTCCAGCAAATACACCATATAAAGATTGATTACAGAACCAATTTGGTTACAGAACCACACAATTACACCATATAAAGATTGATCAATCAACAGAAAGAAGAATGAATTCACAACTTTTGTGAATGACATATATATATTCTGAAATTCAAGGAAATTGTATAGATATAGATGGCCATTAGCTAGCTACACAACATGGCACAGCAAGTGCTAACACGCTCACAAATGCAATAACTCCGTCGAATGCTCTCTTGATCCAGCTACAAGAAGGGTTTCCAGCAGCTTTGGTTTCCCCGAACCGATATGAAAATCTCAGCGTTCCCTTTGTAACAATTGATCCTCTTCTCACGGGGTATTCCACATAGGGTCTAGACGCCCTATCTCTGAGCTCCCTCAGCGGCACATCAACGTGACCGATGCATCGGTCACTTAAAAGCCGCCGTTTCCAGTATAACTTGATCACAACCCTGGAGCAATAATGTTGGACATCGGAGTCATCTATGGGGTGTATGGCGTTGAAATTCAAAGTAGGGTTGGTCCCGTTCTCCATGTCCACCGGAGTTTTCTGCTCCGCCCCACCACAGATTGAGACACCTGCATAAACTCTCGTCCTCGAAAAATTTCGACCTTCAACATCTGTAGCTGAAATTAGAGTGATCTCAAACTCGTTGCAGACCCATTTCGTCTCGGGTTTGGAGCAACAAGCCATGCCTCCTGTAAGTTAGTGGATGAACTTTGAGAGAGAGAAGATTAAACCAAGAAATTGATTTGTGAATGAGAAGAACAATACTTCAACTCATATAAGAATTATAATTTGTATGAATGTTTTTCTAGAATTTTCTTTTGAATTCCTGTATTTCAGTATTTGTAATTTTTCTATAAGCGTGTGTTTACTCGTTCTTCTCGGTCTACATGAATTATATAGCGGTAGCATTCTCCATCTTTCCTCTCTCCTTCCTCTTAATTTCCATCCAACCAGAGGTAGTTGAATTAATGGCAAATTAACATACTTTTCTCTTTATAATTTTGGCATATTAATGCAGTGCTCAGACAAGTGTGGTTAATTAAGCAATTGTGAAAAGGAGTATTATAATGCGGCACACATAAGCAAACGTGTCAATTTTATTCAAATTTTTGGTTGCATACTGGAAATGTAATCCCAAATCGTGAAAGAGCTGTGAAGGTTCGAAATAGTTCCATACATCTACATGGAAATGTCTTTAAAAATTAATTTCAACGTACTGTTTCTCTCCCTCCACATACCATAGATACAAACCGCATGCGAGAGTGTGTTTGGTGATGGAGTATTGATTGAATTTAGAATTAATGGGAAGAGCACCTAATCAGGGAATTCATCAGGGGACCTATGTGATATGTGAAATGTGAAATTACCTTTAAAAAAAAAAAAAAAAAAAACAACTATGTGAAATTTATATACAAAGCATTTGAAACTCTATATAATTTGAGCCCCAAGACAAAAATATAAAAGTTACTTATAATATATTGATATCAAATAATAATTAAGGTGGGAGTATTAAGGTGCAGTTCGAGCCTAGGTGTAGCAAAAAGGGTCAGGAACCATCAACCCGCTCATATCCATCCGCTTTTTAATGATTATGGGTAAATCATATTTAACTTGAGGGTCAAGATTGATTGGGTAATTTTTAACTCATTTCTTTTTCTAAAATTCTCTCACAATCATCTCTCTCTAAATTTGTCTCTCATCAATCCCCTCCCTCTAAATTTCTTTCTTTAAAAATTTCTTCTTAAAAAAATAATAAATTAAAAAATAATTTTAAATAATAATTTAAAATAAATTTAAAACTTTAAAAAAAATTAAAAAATTAAAAATAATTAATAATTACAAATAATAATTATTTTTATTGTATATAATATTAGACAACTAATTATTTTGCAAATGAATAGTAATTTTTGAAAATATTATTTTAATGTAATTTAGAAAACTACCAATTTTAGAAAAATAAGATATTAATAATGCTAGTATTACTGTTACTATGAGCGGCAAAAACTATTGAAAGATTCTGTTTTAAATAGCTGCATTCTTGCATTTTCAATTGATGATTAATGTTCAGTGTTTTCTTGCCTTCGAATGACCATTTTTGGTTCTGTTCGAAAGAAATTCCTGACCAGATTCTATATTTACCCAACAATTTTTTTTCAGTTATGGTCAAAACTTATCTATGTACTCATCATGTACTCATGAACACCTTTTTGACTAGTAAGTTCAAAGATCAGATAGTGTACTGGCATTTTTACACCAACCAATCAAGACTCAAGAGCGAGAGTTAAAGAGATCTACAAGTTTCTTTTTAAATTTTTAACCAAAAAAAAAAGTTTCTTTTTGAATACTACATCAGCTTCCTTTGTTTCTCTGAATTCTAATTTCTTAGAAAGAGAAACTATATATATAGTGAGATAAACTTTAAGGAGTGAGAGTACATACTAGAGAGAGAGAATGAGATTACTGCTTTTGCTTCACATCAACTATATATAGTGGTTTTTCTTTACCTTCGTATAATGTATGCTATATCGGTATATTCTGTGTTTGTACTTTGTAGCATTGTCTTTCAGCCGTGAATCTGTTTACCTTCCTATAATGTAATTATTTTCTTTACCTTCCTATAATGTATGCTATATCCGTATAAATTTTTTTTTTAAAAAAATAACAATTAATGAGTTTATGGGTCATAATGAGTTGACATTGTCCATTTTCAACCCGTTCTGAACGAGTTGAGTGTGGATCTTGACTCATGTTGATCTATCAATTTTTAACCGAACCCAAATTCAGCCCAACCCGCCTATTAACCACCCCTATTCGAGCCCAAATATGAATTAAATGATATCCAATGTTAGCTTTACTATTCAAATAAAAATAAATAAATAAGATGAAAGAAAAATTAAAAATTACTACTAGCTGCTGTGCTTCAAGTTAAAACAAAATATAAAGATGCATATAAAATGAGGAATAACAATAATAACTAGGAATTTTGAAAAGAACATGTAAAATGCATATAAAATGAGGAATAAAAGGAAGCACAAAAGAACTAGTAGATCTAAAAAGAGGAATAACTAGTAAATGTAAAAATTCAATGAAGCACAAAAGAATTACCCACTAGATCTGAAATTTAGTGAAGGACAAAAAGGAGATCAGATCATGAGAAACACATAAAATGAGTAACAACACTAACAACTAGTACGTAAATGTAAAATTTCCACAAAAGGAGATCGATCAGAAGCTACAAAATGAGGAACAACACTAATAATTAGTACAAACAAGAGGAGAAAAAAGAACCTGGGCAGTGTCATATAAAATGAGGAATAACAAAATACAAAAATGCATATAAAATGAGGAATAACAATAATAACTCGGAATTTTGAAAACAACATATAAAAATGCATATAAAATGAGGAATAAAAGGAAGCACAAAAGAACTAGTAGATCTAAAATGAGGAATAACTAGTAAATGTAAAATTCAATGACGCACAAAAGAATTAACCACTAGATCTGAAATTTGGTGAAGCACAAAAAGGAGATCAGATCATATCATGAGAACATATAAAATGAGTAACAACAGTACTAACAATTAGTACGTAAATGTAAAATTTCCACAAAAGGAGATCAGAACATACAAAAAGAGGAACAACATTAATATACGTATTAGAGGATGAACTTAGAAAGAGAGAGAGAGAGAAGATTATACGTACCAAGAAACTTGAAGAGTTGATTTGTGAATGAGAAGACCAAACACTTCAGTTTATTTTCTTTTTTATTAACTTGCATTTAACAGCTGACAGTCCTCAAACTAATCATGTAAATAATAAAACTACGAGACATTTTAGAGGCGGACTTTTCAGCAGCCAATAGTGTGAGTCCTTCAACGAGGGTCACTCGTTTAACATATGTGTACAATGTCATAATCATGGGAGGACGACGCTAAACCTTCTAGAGAAGTGCAGCGCCGGTTGAATCCTGACATGAAGGAAGTAGTCATAAAAGAAGTGATCAAGCTATTAGATGCAGGAATCATCTACCCTAACTCCGATAGCAAATGGGTGTGTCTTACTCAAGTTGTTCCTAAAAAATCCGGCCTCACCGTCGTTGAAAATTCCGCGGGAGAGCTCGTGCTACAACGCACCACCACCGGGTGGCATGTGTGTATCGACTACAGGAAACTTAACTCTACCACTAGGAAGGATCATTTTCCACTCTTATTCATTGATCAAATCATAGAGAGATTAGCCGGCCAAAGCTTCTATTGTTTCCTTGATGGTTATTCCGGCTATAACCAAGTGGCAATTGATCCACAAGATCAAGAGAAGACCACATTCACATGCCCTTTCGGAATCTTTGCTTATAAACGCATGCCTTTTGGGCTTTGCAATGCACCGGCCACGTTCCAAAGATGCATGATATCCATATTTTCGGATATGGTTGAAAAATTCTTAGAGGTATTCATGGACGATTTCTCCGTCTTTGGATCCTCTTTTGACTTGTGTCTCCAAAATCTATCTCTTGTACTTCAAAGGTCTAAGAAGGCATTGTTTTATGACATGTCGTTTCAAAAAGGGGAATTGAGGTTGACAAAGCCAAAGTGGAGTTAATCTCAAATCTCCCTCCTCCAAATTCGGTCCGTCAAATCCGTTCCTTCCTTGGATTTGCCTGCTTCTATCGTCGATTCATTAAAGATTTTAGCAAAATCTCTCGGCCCTTGTGTAATCTTCTTGCCAAGGACGTTCCATTCAATTTTGATGAAGCTTGTATGGAAGCTTTCGTGAAACTACGCACTCTTCTCTCATCCGACCCAATCATGAAACCGCCTAATTGGTTTCTTCTATTTGAGATCATTATGCATTAGGTGCGGTTTTAGGCCAACGTGTGGAAAAACTTCTATACGTCATCTATTATGCTAGCAAGACTCTATCCGATGCTCAATTAAATTACACCACCACTGAAAAAGAATTGCTAGCTGTGGTGTATGCCTTGGATAAATTCCATTCTTACCTTCTAGGATCCAAGGTTATTGTCTTCTCGGATTATGCCGCTCTTAGGCATTTGCTCGCTAAAAAAGAGACCAAACCTCGTCTAATTCGATGGATACTCTTACTTCAAGAGTTTGACATTGAAATCCGGGACAAAAAAGGGACCGACAATGTTGTCGCAGACTATCTCTCTCGTTTACTCATTGAAAAATCTTCTGAATTTGCCGCAGTCCGTGATTCCTTTCCGGATGAGCAACTTTTTCAGATTTCCCATTCCAGTCTCCCTTGGTATGCGGATATTGTCAACTATCTAGCGATAGGCAAAATTCCTTCCAATTGGTCTAAACAAGAGAAAGACCTGTTCTTCTCCCAAGTTAAGTATTTCTTTTGGGAAGATCCGGAGTTGTTCAAATATTGCTCGGATTAAATCATCCGGAGATGCATTCCTGACAATGAAACCACAAGTGCCTAAATTTCTGCCACACTCTTGCTTGTAGGGGACACTTTAGTGCCAAAAAGACCGCCGACAAAGTCCTTCAAAGCGGATTTTATTGGCCATCCATGTTTTGGGATGCATACAATTTCTGTAAATCTTGTGAGCGATGTCAATAGCTCGGATCCATGTCCCAGAGGGACATGATGCCCATCACTCCTATCTTAATCATAAAATTTTTTGATGTGTGGGGGATCGACTTCATGGGACCATTT